CGTACTGCCCGGGCATAGCCCTGCTGTTCGCCAGGAGCCCGTAAAATCTTGTGCCTGGCCTGAACGCAGCCAGAAAGAAACTTTTTTTTTTTCTCGTTGTCGTTATTGTCGTTGGGAAGGGGGAGCGCCGAGGAGCGTTCGTTGGTTTTGCTCTCAGTTCCAAGCCCCTTTAAGTCAGCATTTTGCCCGAAGGTCCCTCTGCAGATGCTCTCCTCGGAGCCACAGCCCCAGTACTTGCTGGGACTTGTGGCCTTGGCTTTCTGCTCATCTGCTTCAGCTTCCTCGGGGTTTGCTTTTTTTTTTTTTCTTCCCCCTTCTCTGTTTCTCCTTTACAGCTACATAAGGCTTCATAAAACAGCCGGGAATGAAACCCCCGCCCACGCGTGCCTCTATTTTCCATCTTGACATGTTTTCCTGCTTTGGGGTGGAGGCTACTACTTTTTCCTTAGCGTTGCTCCTAAAAAAGAAAGAGCATAATTGTTTTTTCAAGTTGCCGTCAGTGGAGGTCAATAGATACGCCCAGTCCATAGCAATGCAAAGCACTATATGAATAATGGCAATACGTTCCATTATAGTATATTATGAACGATATATCTGAGTATGGTTGCGATACATGCTTCTGAATTTTTCACGCTAGGCCTTTAGGTGTTTCTGAGAGGCTGATCCAGAACTACAGTGCAGAACTTTTCCCAGACCCTCTTAATTGCCTCCTGCTAGATATTAAAAAAACAACAAACCAAACCCAAACCCCAAAACAAACCCACACATTTTTCATAAAAAGAACTCTGAGATCATTAGCTAACATTTGGAAGTCCCTCAAATTAACATGCGTGAAGGACTGTGGCCAAACTCCCACTGGCTCCCATAAAAGCAGTAATCAGTCCTTCAAGCAAGATTCTCTACAAAATAACACCCAGAAGCCCCTGCAGAAGGGATTGCCAATCTCACCATCTGACTAGATTAAAAACAGCAGTAACAATGTGATAATTGACAGGAGAAACTTCCCTGACAAGGAATGAATCAGTGTTTATTTTTAGCCTTTTTCCCAAAGGCTTTATTTAAACAAAAGATTAACTAATTATTTCCGTCATTACACTGTCCACGCTAGAAACAGGAGGTGGCAGATCCTTATGTATCTGCAGGGAGCGCTTTGTTTTGGCTCATCCTTGGAGGTCTGCACCCTGGACGGATGCGACTGTGCCAATTGTCCTTTCATTTCTAGTCCAGTCAAGCCAAAAAGTATCAAGGCTTCACTAAATTTAGACACCCCCCCAATCGATATTTTTTATTTCCTAAATAGCAACCCTCAGAAAAGCTTTCAGAAAATGTAAATTGTGATTTTCTCTGTATCCCACCTTTGCTCCACACCTTTGCTTGAAAAACAAGTCAGTATTAATCCTGTCACTGCGGCTGCCCACTGCAGCCTTGTGCAATGACGGAGCACTTGCGTTCCGAGAAGATAAGGTTGCTCTACCTCTGCACGGGAGCCAGCAGTAAAATCTTACTTAGGAGAAGGTATCTCTCACCTGAGAAAAGATCAGTAAAAGATTTTTCCTGTTTTATGGGACAAATGCAAAGAAACTGTATCAATTCTAAAAACACCACATAATATTTGTGTTTCTGGTAATAAGCTTTTTGGGTTCTGCTTTGTTTTGAAGTGGGGGACTTGAAGTGTTTTTCTTAAATTTTGAATGAATGGTGGATTGGAGCGTGGGTTTCGTTAGCGGAGAAGGAATCAGGCAGCTTTGAAAATATCTGAGGATATATTTTTGTGGCTTGTCTGCTATGGAACTAAGAAACACCAATGACCCTTTGTTTCACTGAACTGCGAACCTGTAATATCAGGATTACTGTAAAATATACAAAGAGCTGATTTACTGTTCTCTTACTTTCATAGTCTCAAAGCAATTGTACCACACTAAATTGATAGGCCAAATTGTATTAATTTTAGTCCTGAAAAATTAGTCTCATTCTCAGCATCCAAATATTTATTCTTCAATGGAAAATGTTTGTGTAGAACTTCTTTTCCATGTTCCTTAGTATTTAAGATAATTTTGGATATGACTACTTGGGCTAAGCCACTTCTAGGTGAAAGAGTTTGTACCATTTTATTGCATACCTGATCATTCCTGAACAGAGTGAAATGTGAAGTAGGAGATGACCTTTCGATGATTATCGAAAATCATCAGGTTTTTTATATGCAGCCCACTGGTCTCTTACAGAGGTTAGAGGGATAAACTCCACTGTTGTATTGCTCATAGGACCAAGTTGAGTCTTCGGTATCTCATCTCACATATTAGTGCAAGAGATGCATCAAAATGGAATTTTGCCTAGAAATAAAAGTGTCCTTTCTCCTGTTTCTACATCTCCTGGGGAGACCATTGCAGAAATGGTGGCTCGTTGGGATGAGCTCTCTGCTTTGCAAGTATTATCTGCAATGGTGACCCCACAATCCCTGATGATTTTATTTCTGTTTAGAAGTAAGGTGAATGTAGAACACCAACAGGAACATTGTACAAAATGATTTAATCTATGGGCAATCAGGCCAAAGACACGAATCGTTCGTAATGGTACATACCCATCTGCATTGCAAGAGATAGATATAGTTATCTACAAAGGAAAACATTACAGATGGGGGGGAGGGTGAGGCAGGGAGTAAGGTAGATCAGTAAAATCTGCATTAAATACGTGAGGCTTCAACCAGAATTTATGTTACTGGCTGGAGGCCAAGTCCAAAAAATAAGGATTTAGGGCAGAATTTGAGCTCTGAACTCTAAAACAGAGATGGTAAAAAACCCCAGTGAGCTGTGTCTGACCTTGCATCATACCTAAATTCCCAAGCCACCTTACGTGTTTTTACCTAAGCTATTCTGCTGTATAGAGCCTCTCCGTAAGTGCCCATATCTGCACCAGTTCAACAGGGCCAAGCAGCCTGGCGCTCATTCACAACTCAACTCAATCAGGAGCTAAAAACTATGTGTTACTCCATAGAAGCCCCCAGAGTGGCTCGGTTCAAGAGCCCTTCAAACCCCGCTAATGGATGCCAGTGGGACTTGGTCTTCACAACTGCAATTGTACCTGTTCCCTCTAAAAAGACATTTTAATGATATACTAGAGCAGGTGAAACATTTATCTAGGAAGTGGAAGGTCTGAGTTCAGGGCTTGTTCTTTGCGGATCAGAGATATCAGTAGTCACACTGATGTCTGGGTGCATAAGTATTCACCTGAAACCAGCTTCAAAGCTTGATCACTCTCATTTGTGACCCTGCGCAGGACACGTCTAGAGTGGGTGGTGAAGCTCTGTACAAGGATGCTCAAGTCAGCATTGATGTGTTCCTCTCAGAACTGGGTAATACCACGCCATCAGAGAAGGCTGAAAAGTAGCAGAGTTTATCAGCTGAGGCAAAACAAACATTAGGATGGTGGTGCGTACTGCTTCTGAGCCTAGCTAGCCCAGGGGCCTCCCATTCCAGCACGTTCCTACTCTGAAGCAAGCAACAATCTACATGCTTGTCTGAACTACTTCAGTATGGAAACCTGATTTTTAAAAAATAGAAGCTATTGCTTTTTAACAGAAATGTTCCTCTCAGGTGAGCAACAGCTAATCGGGAGTTTGGATTTGCAGCTATCAGATGGGTAGGTATAACCAGTACCTGCTACTAGTCAACTCTCCGGGCATGTCTCCAGTGAATACAGATTTGGGGATTACCGCTGGATGGCACTCTTGTGCCACAGAGTATGTAACTGTATGTAATTTTATTTGGCTGTAAATACAGACATCTTTTAAGGACAAAGAACCAAGTTCACTTCACTTACACCATCATAAATTTGGAGTGGCTTCACGTAAGGCGTTCAGTTTAATTTAGAGTTGCGCCAGCATAACTGGGAGAAGAATACGAACCAGATGTTGAGAAGTGATATTTTGGCTATTAATTCTAAAAGTAAAGTTTTGAACAATTTATGACACTTGAATACAAGGAGCAGGCATAAAGGTTGTGGCCACGGAAAACCAAGAGCACCCAGCTTAGTTCTTCTGCGTTGTTACAGGCTGCACTAAATTCTAATAATCGACCTCAATGCTTTTACATGACAGTGTTTTTACCGTTAAGGCTGCTATATTATACACACCATCCTATAAAGAGACAAGAAAATTCTTCCATGGCTGGCTGTAAAACAAGAAGCTATCTTCAGTCAACATCTGAAGGCTTTGT